GTACCATCCCGAAACAACACCGCTTGGTGGAAACGAGCCATAACAGGCAGTCTTTGGTCTCATTTATTCCACAGCAAATAGTTTGCTCTGAGGGCAAAGTCTTATAACATTATATTCTCTATAAAACTGTAATGCTGTATTTCAGAGTGCTGCCTTTGTACTTTTGACTGAATTGCTTAGCAACTTTTATGATGGAGGTTGTTGTTTATTAAATTTTATTCAATAAATAATATTTTATATAAATAATATAATAGTATTAAATCATTGTATAGTATTGGTGTGTTTGAGATGTTGATTTTAGATACATTGTTCCACCATTAGATGGCGACAGGAGACTGTTTTTATGAGTGAGTCAGCAGTAAAGACTTTAATATTGAAAGAGACTGAAACAGGGTTGTAAACAAGGAAGTTATTTTTACTTTCAACAACAGCTTGTAAGACGCAGCCAACAAACACCGAGAAGCGCCGTCATCGGAAATCACCCTTAACAGATGAAAGGATTGTACGACAAAGAAATCGCTTTCCTCAGCAGACATTCAAACAAATGTTTTATTGTGAATATGAGATTGAGCTGAAGAATGAATGCTGTATCAGATTCAGGTAATCACGCTCTCTGAGTCAAACTCTCTCATAATACTCAACTCTACATAATACAGTGAGCTTTTAATAGTGTTTTCTAATTAGTAATGGAGGCTTGGAAAGGACGAACCGGTATAAATCCCCATAAATGCACACTTTATTTTATTTTATGTAGCACTTTATACAATTCACATTTTATCAAAGCAGCTTTACAGTGTTAAACAGAATAATGTTTCAATAATGCAAAAAAAAATCAACTTTGCTGTAAAGCAGCTCTAAAAAGAGGACAATAGTAAACAGTCAATTTTTCAGCTAAAGTCAGTTCATTGTTGATTCAGTGATGTCATCATCATCCAGCTCAGTTCAAAAATCCAACAATCAGCCACTGATCTGCACATTGCAGTGAATTTTTAATCCAAATAATTTATTTCTACCCAGTAAATAATGTTCGAGAGACATTCTTGTTTTAGGGTTTATTTTTTACAACCATAAAAACAATGTTCCCGTAGCACTAGTATATGGTGGTTTTTTACACAACCTAAAAATAATTACATGATGAAGCTATGATGATTTTCGAGCAGCGTGTTTCTTCTGGTGGGTCTTAAAACCCCATTTAAAAGCGAATCTCTCGCCGCAGATGGAGCAGCAGAAAGGATTCTCTCCTGTATGATGTCGCTCATGGACATTTAGGACGTCTAAACGAGTCAAAGTCTTGTCACAATACGAGCATTTAAAAGGTTTTTCACCTGTATGAATCATCTGGTGCATTTTTAAGTCACCTGCCTTCAAATAACTCTTCCCACAATCACTACAGGGATACGGTCTTTCTCCAGTGTGACCTCTCTGATGAACTTTGAAAGCAAATGAACTAGCGAAGCTCTTCCCGCAGTCGGAGCACAGGTACGGTTTCTCTCCGGTGTGAGTCCGCTCATGGGTTTTCATGTGACTCGAATGACGGAAACGGTTCTCACAGTGTGAACACTGATACGGTTTGTCATCAGAGTGGATTTTTTGGTGTAACTTTAGAGAATCTGAGCTTATAAAAGGTTTTCCACATTCACTGCACTGATACGGATTGTCATGGCAATGCATGAGTAGATGTCTCTTCAAATGAGTTCCCCGGTTGAAGCTCTTCTCGCATTGAGGGCACTGATGTGGTCTCTCATTGCTGTGTGTGATTAAATGTCTCTTCAGAGCTGATCCGAGATTGAAGCTCTTCTCGCAGTGAGGGCACTGATATGGTTTTTCACCCGTGTGAATTCTCATATGATTTGAAAGATCTTGTTTGGTGCGGAAAAACTTGCTACATTCGTTGCACTGGAGAGACTTTTCTTCGTGTGTCTTTATATGAGCTCTCATATTATAAGTATAAAGAGTGGTGAAAAGATCCTTCCCGCACTGTTCACAGCGAAACTCCTTCTTCACGCTGTGCTCTTTTGAATGAAGTGTTCTCTCTTTGAAGGTAGGAAAACTGATGTTGCATATCTTGCAGGTGAAGTTATTCTGTTCTGTGTGTTTTTTCTTTCTGGCATGTCTTGTTAAATTACACTGTTTGCTGAATGTTTTTCCACAGATGGCACAGGAGAAACTCTTCTTTGTTCTTTGCTCTTTGGATATAGGTGCAGTTTCAGAAGACGAACCAGCTTTGTCATCTGAAAGGAACAAAATGGTCATAAAATATCTAACTATTTCTTTAAATTCTAGAGCTGGATGATCGGTCAACATAAAACTGAAATTATCTAGTGCAATTATCAAACTGCAAAGGCTGTGATTTAAATAAACACAAAGTCTGATGTGCAGCGCTGTGATATTTCTAGTGTTGCCAGATTGGGTTGATAATTTCCAGCCCAAATACTCACCAAAATATTTACTGCCAAAAGACTGTGATAGAATACTGTTGTGTTGACAACCAGGGACCATTTACCACCTTAAAAGCAAATAACAACAATGACAAAATAAAAATTATAAAAATGAATCAATTTCCCTGCCAGGTAAACAATACAACAGCAAAACGTATCAAAACGAGGCAAATACAGCAAAAGAAAATCAGCGAATATGACAAAATAATGTTTATACCCAAATTAGAATTATTAAAGAATGCCAAATATTTGCAAGAAACAGTAAAAGAAATAAACATACTTCCCTGTGAAGCACACATCATTTATGCCATCAGTAAAAACAGGCCAAATGAAGTCCAGACGAAAAAGGCCAGCGTATAAGCGATCAGAATAAGCAACGTAGTTAGTCCAACAAGCAAACTTTCTGAGTAGACAGTGACGCACGCTTCTGCACAAACCAAAACAATAATGCAACAATAACAACCTTCAGGCATGTGATCAGCTAAAGACAAAAAAGCAGGAAAATCTGACCACACCCCAAGCCATACCCCCAGCACCTATTATTAAAAATATACATTTTAACACATTAAAAGATATATCTTAGATTGTTATAATACATACTATTGTACTGTAAAAATGAGAAAAAAAAAAAAAAAAAAAAA